GGGTTTACGGTTTACGGGTTTCGGGGTTTAGGGTTTTAGGGTTTAGGGGTTAGGGTTTGCTTGGGGTTCATGCATCAGTTTTTTAGGGGCTTAGGGCTTCGGATTTCGCCAAAAGTATGAGGGGTCTGGAGTGTATGGGTAGGGTGACAACGAGAAGTTAGGATAACGCTTAGATTTCGATCTAACACCAACAGTACGTACAGTTTCGCCTCCTGTTACTGCTCCTAACTTTTATTGGAAGTGCCCTGCTTCAGATTTCATCATCGAGAGAAAACTACCTGCGATGATGACATGCAATGCTTTTTGTAGACTCAATGTCCAAGTCGAATTTGGAAACCCCTAGCCCTAAACCAAAAAAAAACCTAAACCCCTCAACCCCTCAACCACACACTACACCCCTAAACCCTAAGCCCGAAACCCTAGGTTCTTTGGGGTCCAGGTAAGGTTTAGGGGTCCAGGTTTCGGCCGAAAGCTGCAAAAAAGGGCGGTGATTGGGCTCACCCGGACCCAAACTGCGGCAGGGTACCATCAACCCTAAGATTCCAAGTATACAAATAGTACCTACTTTGGGGTCTAAAGTCTGAAAATGGTACCTACTTTGAGCTATTTGGAGTCTTAGGGATCAACCCTAAACCTCGAAACCCCCTACCTTGAAGCTACTTCTTAGCTGTTGAGTTCAAACGCCGAGAAAACTGTAAGCTTTCAGGTCCAAACGGAAAAAGATTCTCCGCAAAAGTGTTTATTTGCATCCGTGGTTTAGGGGTAATTATGAGGCAAGGCTTCGGTGTTTAGGCTTTAGGGTTTCGGGATCACTACAGGGGTCTAAATAATTACCAATACTGTTTGGGGGGGGTTCTTAGTGTAACTATAATATAACATACCCCAAAACCCTATTCTCATCATTAAGGCCACTATATACGCCGCCAGAGCATGAGCAAGCGATTACTCTCTCACAGCAAACCACTCGGCTCACGAAGCCTGGGAGTCGGTGGCGAACCTTAAAGACGAAACGAACCCTAAAAAGGTTTAGGGTTCTTCTACCCTTTAGGGATTCATAGTACAGGGGTATAGGGCCCCTACTTTTAAGGTTCATTTGGTCCTTAAAGAACGCACAAATCGCCAATTTTGGTCCAAGCTGATCGGGACAGTCGTGTCCTCGTCCTAAACCCTGAACCCTAAACCCTAAAGCCTAAACCCTCAAGAAAGAAATAAATAGAAATTGCTTGTTGCTGTTGGCCATTCGAACGCTCAGATTTTCGGTCGGGACACAACGTTGCCATTTTCGAAGAAACCAATTTCCGTTTCATTTGCGAATTAGCCAGCCCAGCCCAGCCCAACCTAGCCCGCCCAGCCCACCCCCAGTCCCAGGCTCATTCCCAGCCCAGATCACCAGCCAGCCAGCACCAGCCCAGCCCCAAAACCCGCCAGCACCTCAGCCCCAGCCCCACCAGCCCAGCCCAGCCGTCCTCCGGCTCAGGACCTGTATGTGCGACCCGAAACCAACTGCAACTGTAGAAGGAGGAGCGTTTCAGCGCACATTAATGCGAGAACCCCCACGTCGCATGTGGAAAGCAGCGAAATTCTTCGCGAGTAACCGTGCCACCCCACAGCCCAGCTCTGCCAGCCCAGCCACCCCAGCCCCAGCCTTTTGGTAGCGTCCGCCCCAACCCCAGCCAGCCCCAGGCCCCAGCCCCACAGCCCAGCCCACCGCCTGCCTGCCCCACAGCCCCAATCCCACCCCACAACCCAACAGCTGCAGATCCTGCATGAGTGAAAGTTCAGGAACAAACTCTCGACCCGCTGACGTACCGAGTCACGCGATGTGCCATGCAGGCTAGCGTGTGCACTGCTCGCAGGGACGTCTGCAGTTCATCCTCCGCGGCTCCTCGGTCCAAGGGGTTGCAGCACGGGTGGTAGGCTCACGTTATGACTGCCATCTCCTTTTTCGGTCCTGTGAGGAGTGCCTTCAGCATAGAGCCACAAGCACGTTCAGCAAGGGCACAGGCTCGACCACGTAGACACGGCGTCGCGGTGTTGAGTCCCTTTTGCACGTACTTCGTGGAAGGGATACTACATGATAGCAACACGAACGTTCTCGCCACACTGCCAATTGTTACAACTCTTTCTCATACTATACCGGCTTGCAGTCAACAGACGGCGGCCCTCTGGAGTCCTCCCACTCCAGTCCGTTCTCCTTGTACGGACCCGAGATAGCGCTTCCTCCTCAACCCGCTGCAGATCTTGCGCCTGCAAAAGCAAGCAACGATCTTGCACCATGTAAACTGCAAAAATATGTTGCGGCACGCGCCAGACCACCACATGCGTCCCGCCTCCACATCCACATCGGCCTCGGTGTGCCGGATCAACTCCACCAGGTCATGCCAAAATAAGGACACCTTTCAGTTTACATGTCACGAGCAGACAACATATCCACCTTCAGACCACAGCACGCAAGGACAAGCGGAGACACGGTTACCATCTGTGGTCTGCCTGGCAGAGGTCACCGTCCACATCGCCGCCTGCGAGCTTGGAGTTCATGTCCCCGTGCCGCGAGTACAGCAGCGTGTTGTTCGGGAGCATCATTCCCCGAGGTGGGGTGACCACGGTCACAGTGGTCGCATCCTGTGCACACTGTGCCGGGTACCCCAGACCTTACTGCAATCCAATGTCGTTTTCTAATCGAACTCACAAGGTTGTTGCCATACACTGTTTTAAGATCGAGCAGCGGCAACGCGCTTGTCGTTGCCGTAGACCTTCCCGTCGATGACCAGGTAACAGGATCCTATGGCGCAGCGACATCTGTCATCACGGAGTCTCGATTGCCCGACGCCGGCTTCCAGTAAGCCTGCCTGCGGGAAGCTCCCCCGTCGGATCGACGGCCGCAAAGACCGTTCCTCCCTCATCGGGCCTGGACCACACCATTACTGCTTCGGACAACTATCAGGAATGCAACACGTGAGACACGACTCCTTCCGTAGAACTAAGGGTGTGACATCAACAACTCCCCTTTCCTCTTGTGGCGATTGCAGACACGCCGGTAGCGCCCCATGCCGGCTGCAAGCGCCCTCTTGGACCCTGCCACGTGCAGAACACAGCACAGAGTATTACACAAACGGCCGGGCCACACCACTTCATATCGAGAATCCCAATTCGAGTTATACGACGAGTGAAACGCTGGGGCAGAACGGTTGTCTGCAGGACCCGACCCCCGCCTCCCCCCCTTGTTCTATCCACGACCACCCAAGGTCTTGCCTTAGATAGGACCTGAACACGGAAGGTTATGTCATGTGCAAACGCAGGAATTGACCCCCCCCTTCACGACACGGGTTATCGAGGGCAGACCGGCTGCCAACCCAGTATATCCCTTGCTTAGCAAGGAAAAGGCAAAGCGATCTGGCAGTTTTTCCAGACCGGATTTCAGAGAGACCAATGGCCGAAGAGACACAGCAGGCCATCGCCGGTAAAGTTACTGACGGAATCGTAGTCCTGCAAGAAGCCTAGCAAAGGGAAATAGGGCAAACATACGCCCAAGTAGCTTCTCCCCCCAACCCCACCCAGCCCAGCCCAGCCCAGCCCAGCCCACAGCCCAGCCCACAGCCCGGCAGTTACCCAGTTGAAAACTCTGGTTCCAAAAAAAACTTTCAGTCAAAACGTTTCGGTCAAAAAGTTTCGGTCAAAACGTTTCGGTCAAAACTTTCGGTCAAAACTTATTGGCACCCGAACCCTTAACATTTTCATTTTAACCCTAATCAGAACAGCCCAGCCCAGCCCAGCCCAGCCCAGCCCAGCCCAGCAGCCAGCCCTAAAATGTAATTCCAAAAGATAAACTTTTGGTCAAAACCCTAATCAGAACAGCCCAGCCCAGCCCAGCCCAGC